TTTTTTATGAAAATATAATCATTTTTAAAAGCATTTTGATGTAGCAACCACCTTTACTGTGATTAAATTGCTGCAAGATTGCACATGCACTTAACCTAAGGGGAGAGATGTGACAAATCAAATCAAAATAATGAAAGACTTAGTTGTTTTGTCACTGTAAGTCACTGTGAACGTCCCTTGACCCTCTGAGAGCAAACAACGTGTCCAAGTTGTGTATGTCTACATTCTGTTCACTCTGTCTACATTGCAATAGCAGGAGAGATCAAGCCATTGTTCCTTTGCTGTGCCTTAACTATAATTGGAGCAATTTCATTTTGTTGCAATGCAAGTTTGCAGCTATCAATGCATCTACATTGCAAACGAAGAGTGCAGTGTGACCAAACTAGATAGATTTGTTCATTTTGTTTGGTTGCATTTCTCCACAGTGTTAAGGCCCAGCAATTCAGAATGAACAGGGAAAAAAACGTGCAGGTTGAGACCCAGCCCCTGACATTCCTATCCGTACCTGTGCACGCTGAGGATTGAGTGGACGTGTGACGGAGCTTAAGAGAGCCACTATTTACCCGCTGGGCCGGAAAGCCTCAGGGAGGAGGAAGTGGAGGAGGAGGAGAAGAGGCCAGTGGGTGCATTACTCAGTTTAGACGTGGCCAGGAACAAAAAAAGGCTCTGCAAATGCTGCCGACAGCAATTGTCAGCATGGCCCTTGCGCTTTCTCTGACACACACACACACACATTCATTCTCTCTCTCTCTCGCTCTTTTATTGGATACATGTGACAGGATTTGCTTTGTACTGCTCCTACTAGAAAAAAACAGAGACATTAATAAATAGGAAAAAAATCAGCATACTGATGTGGCACCAAGATCAAGATCAACATTGTTTTTAAACAGTACTTCCATATTATTCTTTGACCTACCTTAGAGAAATTAACCTTTCATTGCAAGCAATATTTCTAACCATAAAAACACTTTGTATGTCTTAGTTGTGTATCAAACATTTCATTTAAATGAAGTCTCTTTATAATTATATACACTGAAAGGGGGAAAGGACATAGGAATTACATAGGAATCACTAAGAATTTGCTAGTAATTTTCATATAAAGAATCGTCAAGTAACACATTGAAGTAAAAGTGAATTTTTAAAGGTAGGAAAACTAAGTATTTTATTGTAAAATGTACTCCAATAATCTTTGTGTTATTTACAACTTTTTTTAAGTGTCGGTCATTGCATATACATTCAACGACAACTAATTTTAATATTTACCATATTTTAATTAAAGAACAACAAGCTATTTATTACAAATAAATAATCAAATTAATTACTAAATATACATTTAAAAAAATTAGATTTAAATAAATTAGATTTATTTTATTTTTTTAAACGGCCCTTATGGTGCAGTTTTGAGTTCCTTTTAATTTCTGACTCTGCTTTTAAATATACTAATGGTACATGAATATAGTAATCTTTCAGTTCCATGGTATGTGTATGTATTTATGAATGTTTGTGAGCAGTGAGCTATCAATCCAGGAGAAAGGACCGGAAAAATGCAGTCCACAACAGCAGAACCATGTGCAGACCGGAAAGGCATTATGTAAATGGGTCACTCATTAAAGGTTTATTAAGAATTTGTCTATCTCTCTGTCTGTGTGTGTGTGTGTGTGTGTGTGTGTGTGTGTGTGTGTGTGTGTGTGTGACGGGTAGGAGGAAAAAAGTGCCACTCAGTGGTGATGAAGGAAAAGCCTTTTGAGAAAATCTGTACTGTGGTACAATGATTGTATCAGATGGTGATACTTTGATATACACTATGATACTAAATGATTAACATATTCATATATGATTGTTTTCACATAGTTTTCCAAAGTAGCTCAAAGAATATAATGGTATTACTGCATCAATATTATTAAACAAACATATAAAGTGGTTACTCCATTTAGCAAATTCAAGTACACTACATGTCTAAAAAAAGCAAAATTTTCGTGTTAACTGAAGTTTTTCTACAAAATATCAGTTTGTTTTACAAGTTTTTTGTAACTTGGTTTTAGCCAGAAACGTAATCAAAAATTATTCTGAAGCTTCTCACATGGTTTGAAGGAGAATAAACTATTCTTGTTTTACTGGAGTAACAAAAGCATTTTGGCAGAAATTATGCTTACTATGGTAAATTATTCTAAGGGTGCAGTTAATTTGTCATATAAAAACAATGTAACATAAGCAATCACAATTAAGAGCAAATATTAAAATGACTCTTTACAACTAATCAATTAAATACTCAGAATTACAGTGGCATTATAAAAGCTAAAATAAATCACATGTAGCGAGTATACAGTCAAAATGAAATGGCATTCGCAACCCATATCACTTCCACAACATAATATTTTGGAAATGGAATTCTCAACGAGGGAAAAAAAATGGATGGCTACTAAGCTTTTTGATTGGGATGTGAAGGTTGAAGCAACTCAGTGCATCCCAATTTCTGATATTTCAGTTATTTTTCAAACCTATCATTAATAGCTATTACTGTCATGGTTTGTTAATATATTAAGCATGTATTGCATGTAAGAGCTGTTTGGCTATTAGTTAACATTATCTTCCCCACCTGCATTACACCTAGATGACATGACATCCCCCCAAAAAAAAAGATAACTTTAGAGGCGGAGCAAGTGCGTTTTGAAGATTTTACCATTTTATTTATTTATTTATATTTGAATAACATTAAATAATTGCATGCATTGCATTGCATGAAATAACACGTGCAAAAACTGTTTAGACTAAGAACGAAATTAAAATTAGAAATTAAAACGAAATTAAAAAGAGTCTATTTTTTAACAGGCCCAACTGTACCTGGGATTTCAAATTTTATTGGCATTATGCAAGACAAGAGAATAAACATAGCACACAATCATCTCTGCCAATCAGAGAATATCCAAAATATCAATTATTCTAACAAAATTCTTTTTTTTGTTGTTGTTATTGTTTACTGGATTAGTCATTTAAACTGCTGTAACCGAGTTAACCATGCATTTCTTTTAATATCCGATATTTCTGAAGATGCTTGTGATGAATAGAAACAAATGACAGTAGCATTCAGGCATTCAAGTAACTAAAGTCATCTAGGCAGGTCACAGCTTGAGCAAAGTCACAACTTAAAACAACCAAGAACCATAAAAAAATGGGGAAAAACTGAAGGTGCAAAAAGCAAATATATATTTTAGGATAAGTACAAATTCCATTTCCAGTTTGAAACACATGAATGAAGTTACTTAATCATTTACTATAAAGTTAAGCGAGACACAACTTAAGAAGAAGAGAAACTGTGCAATTGTACTTTACATCGCCATTAGCTTGACCATTTAACTAAAGTTACTAAACTTGTATATTAATCTAAACTTGGTATATTAATACTGCAATGCAATCAAACTTGCCAAGGCCTTGGATGCAACGAAGCAAATAGAATTAAACTAATCTAGTTTCATCCATCTAAAACTGCTAAGCTAACCCAGTTTGGTAAAAGACATTGCATAGGATGTCTTGGCTGCATATTTCCAGTGACCTTTTGCAGTTTTTCCAACCCAAGTATACAAATCCATTACTCTGCATGCAGTGTGTGGAAAGATTAACCATTAAGGGATTTTTTTTTTTGTCTTGTCAAAATCTAGTAATAAACCAGAAATGTATGTGCTGAGGCTAACTGGGAAGTTATGATATCAAGAGCTGATTTTCACTCGTTCGGAGTGCAGAAAAACCTTCCGCTTTTACTGAGTTCAGTTCAGAACATTTGGCAGAGATATTGGTTTTCTTTTTTCTCGTCTTCCTCTTCCCCTCAGTGGGATCCAGTCCAGTTCATTTGACGGGTTGCAAATCATCAAGGAATTTCACATTAGGGAGGAATGTTTTGGCGAGGCGACCTTGAGAGAGACAGAGTGAATAAGAGAGAAGCTTGTTTTTTGGAGGTTTGCCACCATGGCCTTCATTGTGCAAACTGCATATAAGCAAGGTTATGAGAGCCATTATCAATGAAGCAAATTACATCCGCCTTGCATGTCCAAGTTAACAAAAGCATAATCAGTTCTTGTTGGTTTGGAACAAATTCAAGCCAAGAAAAATGTTTAACATGCTTCAATGTGTTACTTTAATAAAAGGCTTGTCCACAATAGGGTAAAAAAAAAAAAAAGTGAATTGACTTTTTTTTTTAAGACACAAATCTCATTTTATATTTGTGAGACCTATTAGTTAGATGAACTACTAACTTAGCATGAGAACTAACTAGTTTTCCAGCTTTTTTACATTCTTGACTGTATCTAAAAATTAAAACTGTACAACGATGCCATTATTTTGACAATCTGTTGCATTTTTATTCAATCGATTGTACTAAGAAATATTTTTAATTAACTCATTTTAATGACCAAAAACATTTATCTATGTCCCACATTTTGTATGGAACTCTGTTCCTGCACAAAATCATAAAATTGCAAGTCTGTAATCAAATTTTACACAAATTGAAGGTTTGACTGCATATATCAAGCTCAAACATTCAATCCTGCTGTCAAAGTTGTTTTAAAAAAATGATCAAACAGATATTTTTGTCTAGTTTATGAGAAATATAGGTTCAACAATACATTGCACTACTAGTTTAATTTAAGCTAAATCTGTCTGTTACTTTTTGCATTTGCCTGGCACTTACCAAATGCATAATCCATTTTTGTGTCAAACTAAATCAAGGCAAGCAAATATGTTAATGAATAAATCAGCCTCTCTAAAGGCACTTTTCACAAAAACAGGCTATATGAGAGAGAGAGTCTTGCACACATATACATACACACTGAGATAGCATGTTATCTCAAGTATCAAAAGATAATGTTTTGGTTATATCCTCTAGTCCTAGTCAAATGTCATTTCCCAGAGTGATTTAAATGCACATGTTTTGCATTCTATTTTCCTGCTTGGTTATTATGCATATTAGGTAATGCCTGACCAAAGAGGAAGTGTTCCTTCTCAAAGCAACATTCAACAAATAACATGACAGCCACAGTAATTAGGCTCACTTAGGGGTGTGCGATATTGACAAAATATTATATATTTTCTGGGATTTTATCGATAACGATAATTAGACTATATTTTGCTGAGTGTGTTATTGTGCTGGTACCTTAAGGACTGCCGAAGACAGCTGACTCCTAATGTGTTTAATATTCTTCATATTCTGTGTGGTGGCCAGTTCACACTGAGAGAAATTAATCTTTTCCAATAAGTTTAAACTTATTTTTACATTTTACGGGCATTTTTACCATTATAAAGCCATTTTTTCTAAAAGTGTCCATAATCTTTTGAGAGAAATTCGTACATTTAATCAGGGAATTAGAATAATAAGACATTTGGGCTGTTACCAAGCAAATTAAATCAACACAGAAGCTGCATCTGAAGTGGCATTTAGATGTATTTACACACTGTTTAATGCAAGACATGAATGCATTTAACCTGCAATTACAAATTCATAAAAATAATGTTTTGATATATTAAACATAAAATATTGAATATTGATATTTGAAATTATTTAAATAATAAAAGATACTTCGAATGTGGTTCATGAATCTTATGGGACATGAGTAAATAATTACACCTCTATTCTTGACACACACACACACACATATATATATATATATATATATATATATATATATATATATATATGTGTGTGTGTGTGTGTGTGTGTGTGCGTGTGCGTGTGTGTGTGATGACATCCTCACCTCTAGTACAGGAGGAAGAAGCGGGTTCGGAGTGAAGACGCCATGCTTTCGGACATGTTACGCACTTTCAGGTAGTTCACAAACCCTCTGAAGAACAGCAGGAGTCCTGGAGTGCATGACAGACAGGTCACAGGTCAATAACTAGATGCTCCAAAGAAAATGTGAAGGGCGCTTCCCACTCACATTCACCACACTAAAAAGTCTAATCGCTTAGAAAAGTAATAGTACACCTAGCTGGTGTCAGCAAACATCAATAATTCCTAATTCCTAAAGAGAATATCAAATATAGCTGTAGAAAGGGTACGGCAGGCTTATTATTCACACAATTACAAGATTCACAAATCCACAACAGCCTTATCACAGCAGCAAGTACACTAATGCAAAGATTATTGTTTGTTAATATTATCTACTCTAATTAACAATGCATTTAAGTCATAATGCACTTATTGATGAAAAACATTATTAAAGCATGTATTTTGAGTTCCATTTTGAAAATAAAGTCATGTCATCGTGTAGTCAACCAGCAGATGGTGCTAGAGTACTGCAGATGAATGACTCAACACTGCTCACAACTATTTTAAAGAGTTCACCCAAAAGTGAAAATTCTGTCATTAATTACTCACCCTCATGTCGTTCTAAACCCATAAGACCTCCGTTCATCTTTGGAACACAAATTAAGATATTTTTGATGAATTTGATGAACCTCTGACCCTCCCATAGACAGCAATGTAATTATCACGATCAAGGTCCAGAAACGTAGAAAGGAGATCGGTAAAATAATCCATGTGACGTCAGGGGTTCAACAGTAATTTCATGAAGCAACGAGAATATTTTTTGTATACAAAGAAAACAAAAATAACTTTATTCATCAATTCGTCTCCTCCTGTTGCCATTTTGGAGAATATCCACTGAACGTAAAGAGCGTATGCTATTCTGTGTCAGCTGCATCCCACGGATACATTTTCTACGTTGCTTACGCTTTGATTTGATCATAAACAACGTATCCACGTGACGCAGCTGACACAGGATAGCATACGCTGTTTGCGTTCAGTGGATACTCTCAAAAATGGCACCAGGGTGACGCGGAGGAGACGGATTGTTGAATAAAGTTATTATTTTTGCTTTCTTTGCGTACAAAAAGTATTATCGTAGCTTTGTAAAATTACGGTTGAACCCCTGATGTCACATGGATTATTTTACCGATCTCCTTGCTATGTTTCTGGACCTTGATCGTGGTAATTACACTGCTGTCTATGGGAGGGTCAAAGAGCTCTCAGATTTCATCAAAAATATGAATTTCTGTTCCGAAGATGTCTTACGGGTTTAGAACGACATGAGGGTGAGTAATTAACGACAGAATTTTCATTTTTGGGTGAACTAACCCTTTAACACTCATCATTCTGATATTATCAGATAAACAAACTACAAAATTCCCGCTTAACGTCCACAGGAAAACCTACCAAGAACAAGGAAAATCCACCAGAGCCAGTACTGCCCATTGAAGTATCCAGTAAAGTAATCTGAAAACTGAGAAGAATGAATCCGCTGAACATTGAGTTTAATAATGATTAAATTCACATTCATAACACACTATTTTATTCATGGTAATTATCACTCAAAGATAACCACAAAGTTTTTTGTTTTTTTAAGCTTCTTATCCTCCTGTGTGGGTTTCGAGTTTTAACTTACCCGCACAATGAGGATCCATTTGATAAGAGAGAGACCAAAGCCGCAGATGGCACCATATCGGCCTGCAATGGTGTTGGTCAAACAGAAAGACAAGCAAAACCCAATCCAGTTGAACAGAAAGGCCACTGGTTACACAAACAGAAAGAGAATGGTGTATTGATGAATGACAGCAAAATATATATATTTAAAGTACATTTAAATACCTTTGTATGGTAATTGTTTTTATGAGCAGACAAACAAAAACTTTCAAACTTGAAAGACTGCTTACATATATCACAAAGATGGTGATGAACTGTTAATGAAATCGTGCCTAATCATTAAATAAACATGACTGGACTATGATGGACAGCACTGCAATGTGTTATGCTACTGACTGATCATGACATACATACAGTCTATAGAAATACTTGCAGTTCAATACATCACTACCAGATGGCGCAAACACAGCACTAATAACACACAGAGGCTTTGGCTGCATCTGATATCACATGATCCCCTGAAATGTGCATACAATAGACACTTTACTATCCCATGAGGCAATGGGAGAGGATTTGTGGCAGTGAAGAGATGCAGCAGACACTGGTAGGTCACGTGATAATGACAACATGGTGAATATAGGCTGTCCAGATTACATTTATACTACACACTTTCATACTATATAGAACATCCTTTTAAGTGGTCGCAAAGTACACACTTATTCAAAATAAGTACCTACTCAGACTATGCAATTTTGGATGCAGCCAGGCTGCTTCTAATGCCATAATATTATACTGCACACTACACAGTATATACTGTCATCTACATATTTGAAAAAAATAAGTATGTGGAGCAGTATTTGCATTATGAAATGCTAAATGCTTTAACCTGTCATATGCTAAAAGGTTTATGAAACCCTAGTAAACTGCACGTTTCATTCAGGCCAGTCACTCTTTTGTAATTAAATATGGTTATTTTGCATTTTACATCTTGTGTAAAACTGTAATGCAGTTTATCATGGTTATAATAGTATGCTATTACAAACATACACACTTACTGAAGAAGGCCAGCATAAAGATTCCATCATTTCCCACCCTCAGCTGATCAGCATCACTTAAGTCATCCCGAACCGGAAAATCCTCATCCTTTTCAACAAGTAGATGGATAAAAAGAAATGGATAAAAATAAGTGTTTTAGAAGCATATTAGAAGGCAAAAGCTGCTGAGAAATCACCATGGTTGTGATGCAACCTCAATGTTTACACATCGGCAACTGGACCAGCCTTGATAAACAACAGTATATTAAAATGATACAAAAGACATTAGCCAACCACAACAGAGGTCATTTACTTATAGCAGGAACAGTAGCAAAAACTGTTTAAGTAAGGGGTCAGAGAGGTGGAAAATGGTTATGAAAGACTAAATAACATATATTGATGTTAAAACCTTGACAAATGATTGCAATTTTCTCTCTACTGAATTTTTTGAAAGAGCTCGTAATTCCTGATTGCTTTCCTTTCAGCAAACACTTTCATTCAAAGACACTTCAAGTGCACTAGCAGAGTCAGTCCAATCAGAGCATCCTGAGGTTAAGCATCCAGTTCAAGGGCTAGATATGCTGCACAATTATTAATCGTTTTGCATGCAAAGGGAAAAGTTCACCAGAAATAAATCATAAAAGTAGTCTCAACTGGAGTCTGTGGAAAAGTTTGGGAAAAACCTGTTAAAATAAATAAACAAAAAAATAAAATTAATGTTAATATTTACATTTATTTAATACATATAACAATAAAGTGCTGTAAGTGGGAAAAAATAATGTATCAATGGAAACTAAATATTAAGCCTTCTGAAGCAGGGATATATTAATATCATTGAGATGCTATTATAGCTTTTGTTAATATTTTTGGTTACATTTTTACAAATTTTGGTGTGTGTGTGTCTACATAGTTTCCATTATTTTTATTGGCCTTGGCAACTAGTTAAAATAAAAACAAGTTTTTTTCCACCTCCAGGTTCAACATCATCATTTGGATCTGACAAAAATAAGAGAGGCATCTAAAAAAAAAATGAGATGTTTGTCTTTTCACTGAACAACATTTGCATGGCTTCAAAATACAGCACACAAGATGTGAATTTGACTGCAGGACTACTTTTATGTTACTTTTTTGAACTGGACTTCCCTGTAGCCACTGACTTTCACTGTATGAATTCTGCACAGTATCAACATTCTGCACAACATGTTTATGTTCCACTGGCTTGGAATGACATGAGGGTGAGCAAATGGCATAATTTTCATTTTTGTGTGAACTACTCCTTTAAGATCCAGCCTACGCCTTTGTAAGCGCTCAGTCCAGCTCCACATTGCTGCCGCAGCTCAAAACAGAGCTGCTGAGGTTGTATAACAAGTCTTGAATAATGTTCTAATTCATTTTTTGTTTCTGATGTGATTTCATAACAGGGTTCAAGCACTTAGGTTCTCAATCTACAACTGCCAAATAGAACTGATCAATATCACACGAGTAGCAGTGCAATATGTGCTGTATATCGGCCTTAGGCACGAGCAACGGAGTGTCTTTAAAAAAACTTTTTTTTTGTTGCCAACTTAGCAATATTGTTGCTACAAATTTACCTTGCAACAAATTTAGCTTTTTTTATATTATTTATTTGGCAACTTTTGATAAGTGACGAAAACGATAAAAAGGCACACATTTTCAATCTAAATTACACAAAAAGAGGAAACCAAAGATGTCTAGCTGTATACACATCACATAAATTAAGGTAACTGCTATTTGCAACTGTTCAATAATAATTAGGAGTGTTCGGCTTGAAGCGGCGCTGCACAGACTGATCTAGGGGCCTGCCCAATCTAATAAAAATTAATTAATAATTTAGTAGCTGCTGGCATAAGTGATGTTCTCAGTGGAGCGGTGTGCTTGTATACTTTTATTATTAAATTATTATTATTTTACAAGAGAGCATTCACAGCTGTTGTTTATATTGCTGTGTGAAGCCTATGGAAGTAACATTAGCTGCATCAAGGGGCGTAGCCATCATTATATATTTTTTTATTAATTAATTAAATTTTTTGTCTAATTGATTAATTATCTCTTATTTTTAATTGGCTAAGAAATCAAATACACTGTTGGACAATAACCAATAATTTGTATTCTGATATTTTAGTCCAATATTTTCCTAATGACAATTTTATGATTGGTTTATATAGGCTACTACGAACACTTTTTTGCAGTTTTTAATCACAGAATAAGACAGGACATTTTTGACATTTTTTTAGTTTCTATACTACATGAACATTCTATACTAGATGACTTGAAAAATGCACATAAACCACAAACATTTTTGTTTTGCAATTGTGTGTTTATTGTCTTCACGTTTCATCAGTCAAAACGTTTCTGCTTTTTATTCAGATCATCTACAGCAGATATTGGTTAGCCTACAGTGATAGTTGTTATAAATAAAACGTCAGGTCATGCATAGACTATCACCACATTTATTTACACTGGCCCGTGAAAACCTCCAACTTTACAGACTTTTCTTAGAGTGTAGCATACTAAGTAACTACTAATACACTGCTTAAAGGGGTCATTTGATGCGATTTAAATTTTTCCAAAAAACAAGCTCTTGGTGCATAAAGAAGATCTGTAAAGTTGCAAAGACTAAAGTATCAAATCCAAAGAGATATTCTTTATAAAATTTAAAGTCAACCACGCCTACCTAAAATGGCTCGTTCTAACACGCCCCCACATGTCTACGTCATGATGTGGGAAGATTTGCATAATGCCGCCCAAATAACTTTTATTCTCGCTGTTGCTGCCGCTGCCATGTAGTGGAGTCACTGTGTGATTCGTTGTGAAAGCGAAACTACTTTGTTTGGCCTTCCAAAAGAGGACACAACTAGAAATCAGTGGTTAAGTTGTATTTATAACACTGTTCCAGAACATTTCAACCCAAATATTCAGATGTGTGCAGCGCATTTTATGGAGGATGGATGAGGACTGTTTCCTGAACCAGTAGCCTAATGTGTCTGTGGCACAAAGGCTGTTTCTATAAAATTGGGCAATTCCAAATTTGCAAGAACCTTCTGGCGCTTCTGACTCACAGCCTGTAAGTACGTTTTTTATATTAAAATAATTTGCCCATGAGCAGTGTAGAGTAAGCTTGTCGTTTCTCCGATTACAAATGCAGACATGGTTTTATGTTTACGCAGCGCGATACGCAACGTGTAAAAAGACAAAACAAGTAATTATGTCCCCACTGGATGCAAAAAAATGCCTCTTTTCTAATGGGTTTTATTGGTTTTGTCTCGTCTAGTGATGTCCGGATCGCGAACGAATCGCTCTATTTAACCGGATCTTCTTAGTGAACCGGTCGAACCAGTTCACCAAATCGAACTGAATTGTTTGAAACGGTTCACGTCTCCAGTACGCACTAATCCACAAATTACTTAAGTTATTCGGTTTATAAACATGCCTGACACTCCCTCTGACACAAAATAAACCAATATATCCCGAGTTATTCAGTTACTCCTAACAGTACATTGGCTAAAAGAGAACCGATGATGGGATGTGCACGAGCAGAGCAGCTGGACTGAGTCTCGTCCTGTTGGGAGATGGCATCACAGTATGTTAAGGGACGTAACATTACCATCACACGCTTGAGGCATTCAGCTAATCACAACGCACTGGATATCTGGCAAATCAGAGCACACCTAGCTTTTTTAGAATGATGCATTTTTTTAAAATCGAAGCGTTTCAGAAAGGCGTGGCATAGAGGACAAACAATAATGTACATTATATGGAAAATAATGTGTTTTTTTAAACCTTAAACCACATAAACACATTTCATTACACCAAATACACAACATAATGTTCTTTTTAGCAACGTCATATGACCCTTTTAAAACTATAATTGTTCAGAATGTGCAGTTTTACTAGTTTACTAGCTATTAAAAAAAAAACTTAATTGTTCAGAAAAGTGTAAATGTTCAATAATTTAATGTTGTATTTAAAAGTGCAGTTATGTATATTTTAAAATTATTATATTATGCATTCATATTATTTTACAAACAAATCTATATTAACATATAAAATATATTTTTGCTGAGATTTGATGCAGTGACAATTTTGCGCCATGATTACATGACGACGTCAATGACATCACAACGTCATTTAGCAACTTTTAGCAACAAATTAAACTTCCTTTAGCAACTTCCCCTGAAAATTAGTTGGCAAACACTACGTCCGAAATCGCGTACTGCGTAGGTACTACATTTGAATTTGAATTTACTTCATGACCGTTAAAAAAGTATGTTCTATATAGAATGAATATGGATAGTATGAATGAAATTCGGACGCATTACATCCGCCATGTTGTTACTGTCACATGACCTACCAGCATCAGCTGTGTCGCTTCACTGCCATTCATAAATCCTCTCCCGTGGCCTCATGGGATAGTAAAGTGTCCATCGAATGTGCACTTCAGAATCCAGGCGGAAGAAGTAGGTCATCCAGGTACTTTTCGCTTACAGTTTTTTGAATACTATTAATTCGGACATACTACTCGCCTCACATACTGTTTTTCGCCTACTATATAGTAGGGATTGTGAAGTATGCGATTTCGGACGCAGCGAAGGTGTGGTTGAAATTTAAAATAACTTCCTTGTTTACAACCCTATTTCAGTCTCTTCCAATATTCCAAATGCTGACTCACTCATAAATTACCCCACTCACTCTCTTGTCACCTTCTGATTTAATGGCAGAACAATGTAACTAATCACCATCACGAACACACACCGTTTCCCAAAACTAAATACTATTATTAAATACTACTATTATTTATATCAAATATTATTAATTGAATAATAATATTTAATAAATGACAACAGCCATCATAAAAGTTGCTAGGCAATTCAGTCAAAAGTGCAAAGGTGTCAGTGCATTAAAGATGCACTTATGAGACTTTGCCCTCAGCCAAAACTATTTGCTCTGGAACAAAAATATTAGATTAATGAGACCAAAGACTGCCTGTTAGATTTACCCAAAATTAATTATCTCCCAAAATTAATAATCTCATGTTTAACCACTATAGAAACATCAGAGCCAGCGACAAATTTCAGAAGAACTGGCCAAGGTAAAGCTGCTCTCGGCGGGTTCATAAGCGCTGAATGGCTGCTGACGTCCTGGAGCTCACATCTCTGAAAATATCGAAGCAAATTTTCAAATAGACATTATCTTTATTTACAAACCGCATATTTGAAGTCTAAACAAGTACATTCTCACCTAAAAAACTCTTAAAACTACATTACATGACACAAAAACAGTATTATTTTTAAAATTGTAGTGGATTTGGGCGTCCGCCATGACACTCGCTGTGAGAAATACTGCAAGCGGAGTGATACAAATGGTGAAACGGTTGGAGTTCTGCCATCATTAGAATGTCATTTTTAATCAGTTTAATGTGTCCTGAAAAAAATAATGAATTTCTATTGTAATTACTTTTTTTACTTAACCTAAACATTTGAGTGGTGTATCATAGTTTCCACAAAAATATTAAGCAGCACAACCATTTACAACATTGATAATAAGAAGAAATCTTTCTTTGAAATCAGCATATTAGAAAGATTTCTGAAGGATCCTGTAACACTAAAAGTTTTTAAATTTTTTAATATAGTCACAGCATTCAGTAAGTATTTCAAAAGTAAAAATCAACTTGGGAATCACTGTTTGAAGGTCATTGCAAAAAAAAAGGCTCAGAAAAAGGAATTTACTTCTGAGAAAAGCGGGATAGTAAAGTGTCCATCGAATGTGCACTTCAGAATCCAGGCGGAAGAAGTAGGTCATCCAGGTACTTTTCGCTTACAGTTTTTTGAATACTATTAATTCGGACATACTACTCGCCTCACATACTGTTTTTCGCCTACTATATAGTAGGGATTGTGAAGTATGCGATTTCGGACGCAGCGAAGGTGTGGTTGAAATTTAAAATAACTTCCTTGTTTACAACCCTATTTCAGTCTCTTCCAATATTCCAAATGCTGACTCACTCATAAATTACCCCACTCACTCTCTTGTCACCTTCTGATTTAATGGCAGAACAATGTAACTAATCACCATCACGAACACACACCGTTTCCCAAAACTAAATACTATTATTAAATACTACTATTATTTATATCAAATATTATTAATTGAATAATAATATTTAATAAATGACAACAGCCATCATAAAAGTTGCTAGGCAATTCAGTCAAAAGTGCAAAGGTGTCAGTGCATTAAAGATGCACTTATGAGACTTTGCCCTCAGCCAAAACTATTTGCTCTGGAACAAAAATATTAGATTAATGAGACCAAAGACTGCCTGTTAGATTTACCCAAAATTAATTATCTCCCAAAATTAATAATCTCATGTTTAACCACTATAGAAACATCAGAGCCAGCGACAAATTTCAGAAGAACTGGCCAAGGTAAAGCTGCTCTCGGCGGGTTCATAAGCGCTGAATGGCTGCTGACGTCCTGGAGCTCACATCTCTGAAAATATCGAAGCAAATTTTCAAATAGACATTATCTTTATTTACAAACCGCATATTTGAAGTCTAAACAAGTACATTCTCACCTAAAAAACTCTTAAAACTACATTACATGACACAAAAACAGTATTATTTTTAAAATTGTAGTGGATTTGGGCGTCCGCCATGACACTCGCTGTGAGAAATACTGCAAGCGGAGTGATACAAATGGTGAAACGGTTGGAGTTCTGCCATCATTAGAATGTCATTTTTAATCAGTTTAATGTGTCCTGAAAAAAATAATGAATTTCTATTGTAATTACTTTTTTTACTTAACCTAAACATTTGAGTGGTGTATCATAGTTTCCACAAAAATATTAAGCAGCACAACCATTTACAACATTGATAATAAGAAGAAATCTTTCTTTGAAATCAGCATATTAGAAAGATTTCTGAAGGATCCTGTAACACTAAAAGTTTTTAAATTTTTTAATATAGTCACAGCATTCAGTAAGTATTTCAAAAGTAAAAATCAACTTGGGAATCACTGTTTGAAGGTCATTGCAAAAAAAAAGGCTCAGAAAAAGGAATTTACTTCTGAGAAAAGCATCCTTTGTTTACAGATGACCGTTGGTTTGTCATCCGGTTATCTAATGCAATGAAATTCAGACAATCTTAAGAGTGTCCAAATACTTTTTGGGGCCACATTATATAACACTTCTTGATCTCAGCTCAGAGAAATCAGAGTATCTGAGGGATTCTCTTTCTAGGTCATGGTTTTTATGGCACACCACATCCTCAAAAAGGTTATCTTAATGTTACTGCTAAAAGCTAATCAGACATGATTATAAGAGATGTCCCACTTCATTTTAGTCATCATTAAATGATACCAGCATTACTACAGCAATTTACTTTCCTTTGAGGCAATGTTTTAGACTCTACCAAAGCCGCAGTGGAAAGTTGTGCGAATCGAGGGCTTGGTGTTTGGTTTCGCAGAATGTGTGGGTGCGTAGGCAGGTGAGATACTCACTCGTGGAATGACCTCCACTGCTGAGGCAGCCATGGCTGCCGCTTTGGCCTTCTCTGCCTCATCGTAAGTGGGCAGAGACGTGGCAACGCTGTATGGTGGAGGAACGGGAAAGTCCCCCGGAAATGTGCTCTCTAAAAAGCGATAAAAAAAACACAGGTCAGCCATACACCACACATTTCTAGCTATGAGTCTTCCAAACAACGAGTCTTCCTAACACCGAGTCAAGCACAATTACTATTGCTCACATAAGGAAATGTAAATAAGCCCATAATGCAAAGTACCAAACGGTGACGCATAACTTGCTATGCAGTGATCAGACTTATGAATTTTGCCTTATTGTTGCTAAAACAACTGACAGACATATACTGAGCCATACCTAGAGACCAGAACATCATCAAACTTGGCCCTTTAGACTAGTGGTCAACCGATATGGGTTTTTTGACAGCCGATACCGATGCCGATATCTTGTAAAGCAAGGTGGCTGATGGCCGATATAAAGTCAATATAATTGTATTTATTTTAATTCACATTTAAGAAATTTGAAATAATTTGAAAATGGATTAAAAAATAAAGTGTAAAATAAACATACTTATACTAAAGAAGACAAACTATTTTTCACAAATATATAAATATTTAATAAAAATATAATTAAAAAGGAAGTAAACACTGTAACCAACAGAGCACTTAGTATTCTGGGAAGTTTTTGTGCATTGGGAATCATATTTTTTCAAATAAAGCCAAGGTAACACTCATATTACATACAGCACACAGTGAAATTGACATGAATATGACAGTGGGCAAATACATAAAGCGCAGCATAATTTTAAATCAGTCACGAGTTTAAAGTTTAAAGTTTCCAGTGAAGCTGAACTCTCCTCCTGTCCGTATTCAATTCACACGGACCACACGAACATGCGATCATGCAGGTCACATGCAGACTTCACAAGATCTCAACTAGATTTGACTAAGTCTGCAAGGTTTGTGAAATTAAATGTTCATTAGTCATTCAAAGATTTGTTTAAATTAAATAAATGCGTATTTGCGGAATGCCGACGGCAAACAAGAAAGTATTATAATGTTTGTCTTTAATAATATTAAATCAATCATTATAAAACTCTTTTGTATACATTTTAATTCCTTTGTTTAACAGTTCTATCTGATTATTAGACAGACCTCTATCCGTATTAGACAGAACTGAATGACAACAGCGAACAAGAGGGAGAATGTGAGCACTGTGTGCTCAGGCACTGCCGCAGCTGTTCTCTGCACCGTCAAAATAAAAGTCCTGCCTCGAACAAATCGGGCAAACAGAAAAACTTATCGGCCAATGCCGATATTTGAAAAATGGTAGATAATCGACCGATATATCGGCCTTGGCGATGTATCAGTCGACCACTACTTTAGTGAAATTAAATGTTCATTAGTCATTCAAAGATTTGTTTAAATTAAATAAATGCGTATTTGCGGAATGCCGACGGCAAACAAGAAAGTATTATAATGTTTGTCTTTAATAATATTAAATCAATCATTATAAAACTCTTTTGTATACATTTTAATTCCTTTGTTTAACAGTTCTATCTGATTATTAGACAGACCTCTATCCGTATTAGACAGAACTGAATGACAACAGCGAACAAGAGGGAGAATGTGAGCACTGTGTGCTCAGGCACTGCCGCAGCTGTTCTCTGCACCGTCAAAATAAAAGTCCTGCCTCGAACAAATCGGGCAAACAGAAAAACTTATCGGCCAATGCCGATATTTGAAAAATGGTAGATAATCGACCGATATATCGGCCTTGGCGATGTATCAGTCGACCACTACTTTAGACTTGAGTCAATAACTAGCCACCTAGCAACTAGGGCTGAACGATTTTGGAAAATAATCAAATTGCGATTTGTGAAAATAATCAAATTGCGATTACGATTTAATATGCAATTATTTTTTTTAAAGCTCTTTATGTTCTGTATTATTCAACAAAGACAAGCTATAAATCATTGTATAGTATGATCAACACAATATTATATAGATTAAACATAAATGTTCTTTTCTGTAGGCCAGGCCTATATGTTACGATGAAATTAGGTGATGCATGAATTGATATGAATGTCATTTTTATTTAACAACTACAATCACAGTACATTGACTGATTTTTTGAACTTCCAACCTAATAATTATGTTTAAATAAGCCTGGTGTAAACATTAATATGAAAGTCAGTAACAAATCACACAAACTAAAGTAGGTTGCAGAAATATAAAAACGAATCTGTTGCTTTACCACACTACTTTAGAT